TCACTTACCTTGTAATGGCACAGTTTCAAGACATTTGACAACAGTCTCCACTCTGAAGACCCCTCAGAGACCCCCATTGCTCCATGGCATTCTTCATGCATAATTAGCATATTAAATTTGCATTTTAAATAGAGCACTTATTTTAAAGTAAAATGAACTGCCAGTGAATGTTGCCTCACTGACATTATCAATGTGGACGAAGTAGGTGGATCCTAAAAAGAGTGCTGAGGACACAGGAGACGAGTCGCTGGTGCTTATAATCGAATGGGTGGTGACATGAAGGCTAGAAGGTGGATCACAGTAAATTGGCCTCTCCTGGGGCTGAGTGGGGGCGAGTCAGCCGGTAATAATTTAGGGGAAATGACCTGTCCTAACGTGAGTACCATTCCAATAAGGTAATTAGGACCATCAGCAGCTGCCAGCTGAGGCTATAGCTCAGATGACACGTGGAAGCCATCAGTCATAATGCCAAGTACCTAGTAAGCGCTCAATTAATGCTCATTACTGTTCATAAAAAATACTCAGGTTTCTTACACAGGATTTCTTTTTTCTCTTTGAACAACTCGATCTGATCCCCTTCCTTCCTACCACAATGGTCCTAGGTGATTAGCCTGGTAAGAAAGATAGTTTCCTTCCAGCATGTCGTGTGTCACCTGAGCAGTCCCTGCTTCTGTGATGAGGGAGGGACCATGACCTCTGTGACCAGGTGAGCACCCTTAGCAGCTGGCACATTAAGCAGCAAGAGCAGGAAACCCACTGCCCTGGAGAAGTGCCCACTGCGTTCATCGTGCCAAGGTCTGATGTCAGTCTACAGGCGACCTCTGAATCATTCCATGCTGAGGCCCCGTCATGTGGAGTGCTTCTCAGAGAGCAGACAACAAGCAAATAGGAGCGAGGGGTCTTGATCTTGTGAGAACATAATTATTTTATTATTTTTATCATTAGCACTCCAACATACCGTTTAAGGTGGGCTAGACAGCAGGTTAAGCACATGGCATGGATTATATAATCTAATCCTCACAATAATCCTAGGAATCATGTGCTATTATTAATCTCCATCCTGTAAATAAGAAGATGCATGCTTGCGCAGGTGTGATAAAATATAGCTGATACACGGCGGGCTGCACTCTGCCCTGTATGAATAGTCTTCCATGATGGTGGCTTCAGAACTGTCATCATTGGTGTTATTTACATAGACTGGTACATGTTGGAAAAACTAACCACATTGAAAAACTGAAGCTCACTGCTGAAATAATTTCAGCTCTTGTTGATTCCTTCTTGCCACCCACGGTCCATTTGGGGTGGCTGCCGAAAAGAGGGAGGGTGTGAAATCCGAAGCAGTTCATTTAGTGTCTTCATAAGAAGTTCCTGAGAAAACGGGAACTTTTCATTAAAACGCAGATGTATTTCTGTCACCTGTGTTTTACATTTATTCTCGCTATATCTCACATCCCCAGTGTTAACAGGACCATGGCATTCTTACTTAGCAGTGATGGGACCAATCTCAGCATTTAATTGGTAACTGTGAAATCTTATAAAACGGCTTGATTTTTTTTTCTCCTTAGAAATTTGTTAACATGAAATGTAGCCATAAAATATACTTGATACGACTTTTAAATGTAAATTAAAAAAATATTTGGGTATTTTTTGATAGTTTAGTTGCTTTTAGAATTCTCACATATCTAAACTATAAAACATAACATCCAGAAATAATCCACCACAGCATATCAATCACACAGATGGAAAGTAACCTATCAAGCATTTGAAACCAAGCGTTCAGAGCCTATCCATCAGGTCTTTTGATTGGAAGCAACAGGAATATAATTCACACAGGCTTAAGCCAAAAAGTATCACTGCTAACGGAATGTTCAAAGAGAGAGCTTTGGCATCAGGCATCACTTGATCTCTGCATGTGAAGAATTTTCAGTTTCTTTCCTTTGTGTTGGCTTTGGCTTTCAATGGTCCTTTTTCCACTTGGGGGGAAATTGTTGCCTAGAAGCTCCAAATTTATATCGCCCGGTCTGATCAAAGCCCTGTGAACACATTTCCTCTTCACAAGGTCTTCCAATGGCATCTCAGTATCGGGTCTGGTTGTCTCTGATTGGGTGGCCTGCCTCCCATAGTTGACCAGTCACAGTGGCCACAGAGTACAAGTTCTCTGACGGTGAGACCTGAATCGTGTGCTCTGTCCTGAAGCCACCGGTGTTGTCAGCCCAGTTCAAAGACAGAGTCAGTTACAGCAGCTGGAGGGGAGTTGCCACAAACAGGTGCAGGGTTGCTGCCTTCTGTGGGATCTCGGGAGGCTCAGCAACCAGGAGGGTGTGGGTGGAGCGCTGACATTTTCTACTGCACTGCCCCCACTGGAGCGGTGTCTGCAGAGCATATGCCATTTTATCCATCAGAGAAAACGCTTGTCCAATGTGATTTCAACGTCATCACTGAGTTTTTTTGGGGGAAAGTCGGAATAGTCGTGATGCGTGGGACATGCTCTTTGGCCCCCACTTATTTGGAGGGTCTTACAATAGCTGTGACATGTGTATTGGCTTGAGATTAAACACACAGCTTCTGTGGCAAAGGAATCTGGGAAGAGACCCCAGCTCTGCCAGCTTATTTCCAGGAAAAGTATATGCGCACATTATACACGTACATAGCATCTGGCACACAGTTTGTGGTTAGTAATTAGTATCTACTTGTTATGATATTATCACAATCATTATTATTAAGTAGCAAGCTCTTCTATTACTGCTTCACAGACTTAGATGTTTAGTTATGTTAAAAATTGACCTCTGTCTTCATAATCAAAACAAAGCACGATGATATGACTATGGAACAATGACTCATTCTTTACTGAAATTATTGTTTTCCTGAATGCTCGAGATGAAAAGCTTTTTCAGTTGGTTACTTTCATGTCTTTGTCATAAGCCTCAGAGATACACTGTCATAGAGACAAGAAAAGCTATTGCATTCAGACAAGTATCAGAGCCTCGATTTTTCTCTTTGTAAATAAATTTTCTTAGATTTTTTTTATTACACAGGTAATACTTGCTCAGTGTAGGAAAATAAAGGTAAACAGAAAGTGGAAAATAAAAAGCATTCATACCCTCATTACCCATAAGTAGTAACTTTTCATATGTTCACATATGTACATGTATTTTTAAAAATTGGATAATTCTGCATATAACATAAAATTCATCAGACTTGGTGAAGATTCTTCTATGTGTACAAAATTTCTTCCAGAACAGCATTTCTATTTGTACTAGTTCGGTGTCTCATAAAATGAACGAATAAGAAAACCAGTTATCTGAGGTTAATTGTTGGCAGGCATACGCCGTTTTCCTAAAATGTCAACCTCACTGTGTGGTAAGTGGCAGGGCTTTTTCAAAGGACAGAAACTAAATGTATTATAATAATTTTATTTTGACAAAATTCCAGTTGCATCTGTAACGGTATGCTAATTCTGAGACAGGCGACATCGCCCATTGATTTGGGGGAACATTTTCTGACATTACGTGTGAGCACAGCTGTTTTCCTAGACGGTGTATGTCTTTGGTTTGCATGGAAAAATCGAAATTGTTTGCCAGGACAAAGTTCCTAGGGCTTGTTCAGGTTTCTCGCTGTATTAGAAGCCTCGTCTGAGTCACCATCAATTTTCTGCAGCTGTGTACTGCTCACATTCTGCAGAGTGTTGTCCACCACTTGGCAGGGGATCAGGTGGTTCTCCTCCATTGCTTTTGTTGACTTGAAGAAATCCTGCATCTTCTTCAAAGTTTACAACTCGGCACTGCAAAATACCTTTGTTATTATTATTAATTTACAATATATTTAGATTACAAATATTTAGATCATCCAACAATTTATAAGGGAGTGACAGGGACTTGACAGAAAGAAAGGAAAGCTGTTAATGTAAATAGATTGGAGCTTGATTTTGTATATGATTCATTTAACAGGGACTATTGTCCTGTTGTAATTTTGTTCACAGCCTGCATTTCTTTATGTTATACCTGTAAAAACGAGATCTTCTATGCCACAGATTTCTAAATCCACCCCATGGTTAGATACATTAAGGTTCATACAAGATATATGTTTGCTATTTTAAAAGATGCTCTTATTAGACCAAAGATATTAGATATAAGATATTAACCCAAAGTCCTATAGGTAAAGAAACTCTTTAAAAATTCTGTCTAACAAGAGACAGGGTATGATGTAAAGTTATCTGTTATGTTATTGTTGTTTTTCCTTTTTATTTGAGACAGGCTATAAATGAGTCCGCTTTTTGAGGATCATAGAGGCTGTACTCCCCATTCATAGGGGTCCATCACAATACTAACCCCCTTGGTTCTAGCTCGCCTGTCACTTGTCTTCAGTTACCTGCTAGTACCAATTTAGCTTTAGAGGGACCTGTATTTTTGTCTTAAAATCTATAAATACAGAATCTTAAAATCTATAAAGAGCTTGCCGACTCTTAAATGTCATGTCCTTCAGAGAATTTCCTGAACACCATATTTCGAGTGATATAATCTTGTTACTATCTCTGCAGCGTACTTCCTTTATTTCCGCTATTGCAGTTTGCACATATATCTGGTTTTTTATTTGTTTATTGTGTGTTGCTCCACTGATCTGTCAGCAGTGGGAGGGCAGAGAACGTGTCTATTTTAGTCACCGATGTATCCCCTGGTCACAGTGCCGTGACTTGCTCCAGGCAGGCACTTCATGAGGTGCTATACATTGCTGGGTGAGTGAATGGCGAATGATGGCATGATCTGACACCTACCCACAATGCGATGGACTAATTGAATGTGTTTTCCTTGAGAGTTCTTTTTAAGGACACTCCTGTTTTATCCTGCTGTCACAAAGACTGACCCGGACTGTATTCTAATGAGGTGTAACTGTTTAGTCCAGTCCCTGAGATTAGTTGGAGGAGGTTGGATGGAAGCCCCTTGCCAGGGAAAGTCCAGTACAGCAAATCCCAGGCTACCCTTGAAATCCCGAACTTTCAACAGGAAGATGAAGGCTTCTACGAATGCGCTGCAGGCAACCTTCGAGGAAGAAACCTGGCGAAGGGTCAACTCATTTTCTATGGTGAGCTAATAACATTTCAAAAACTGTGTGAGCTATTTGGTACCACCCTTCCTCGTAAAAAGTGAAGGTCATTACCATGTTGTGGAAAAGTCTCCGGGAGATACAGGGAAGCCACGCTTCCCGGTTGGATGCTTAATATGATGCTTAGAGGGCGAGAATGGCCATTTTTGAAATATGGCTTTAACTTCCGCATGGGCTATGCATGGTATTGTTTATTATAATTGCCTTGAAAATATCAGCAGTGTCATGTTAAAGCCATAAAACTTTATAACCCGAGGTGGCTCGGAATCCACTTATCTCCCATAAAACATCCAGCAATAGTCTGTGACAATCTTAATTATCATTCTAAGTAGAATTTACAAAAGAAGGAGAGAATGACAGGAACATAATCCTGAATAGTAGTTTTCAGTATTTGTTTCTGTTTCCCAGATTTTTTCTACTCACATATAGGTAATAGAAAAATAAAGTCATTACTTCACTAACAAATATATATATATATGTTTGCCGGAATTACCAGAATCTGTTGTAGATTTAAGAGAGAGAATGAAAGCATATATTTTCTAAAAGTTGTTTTTATGTCTTCTTTCATCCAGGCCAAAATACGACACTAGCATGAAATTAGCTTCGTTTTCTTTTTTTTTAAAACATCAAATAAACTGTAAAACATACCCCAGAATTCTCAGTATGTCTGGTGCTTTTAAAATAATCTTAAATTCTTTGCTAAATTTAACATATCTGTCCTGGAGAACTTTTTAAAACTGTATTTATACATGGCCAAAATACCACATAACATGTTTATATGTGACATGTTTATAATCACTGATGAAGTAACTGGAGAAAGATACATTTCTGGGTAACTAGAAAAGTCTAAGATATCGTAATTACCTAGCAGGAATGCCTCTTGAGTGTCCTGCAGGGAGAACATATCATGCCTTGGTTATATTATTTTCCATTTCCTTTGGGATTTTTCAATTTTAATCCAGAATGAAAAGCAGTATTTTATACATAGAGCATGATTTCCTCCACATTATTCCTCTACAGTTGTAACAATGCTAACCAATGTATATGTATCTGCATTTACATTAATGTATGTATTCTTTTCAATAGCTCCTGCTTTATAAAGGAAAGTCATTTGGCATCCAGCATCTTTTCTAAATAACATAGTAAGGATGAGTTTTTTTAGTGGTACAAAGATATTAAAGGCTTTGACTAGTTTTTGATAGGTCATTTTTCTATTAAATAGACAAAAGTATAATCAGAAAATGGAGGTATCTGTAAACTGAAAGGTACTTTCTCTGACATTCATACAGAAACTATTAGCTTCCATAGAAGTCTTCATGAGTACTAATTCATGTAATTCTTACAATAGTTGAATGTAGAAATAATTTTCAGTGATATTATAGGTAAGAACCCTTAGATGAGTTAAGATCTCAGAGGTGTCATCTCAGATCTGAGATAAGAACTCTGAACAATCCTCCTCAAGTAAACCCTTTCCACCTTCCATAGCGCCTCAGCATGGCAGTCTAAGCCCATTCATGTGACATCTCAGCACAACCAAATTAATTTTATAACATTTAATTTATTCCCTGCCTGTTTCCATGAATGATAGTAATGATAGAACGACCTACCCAACACTTTAACATCAGTTAAACCTGCTACTTTTGGCCTCAATGTCATGTAGAACTTTTTCAGGTCAGAAAATAAGGATTTGGAAAATGCATGCCCAGGATTAAGTTAGGTGCTGAACCTCTGTGCACCTCCAAAAGTTCTTATTCCTGTCAGGAGTTTTATCTAGGGGGGGGGGAAGGATTATCACCCTACTAAACCGTGATGAGGTTCATATTGGATTTATACTTTCAGCCACTGAATCGTAATTATGTCTGATACAGACATACTTTTAGTTAGTTCAGACAAAATAGAGTGGACGGTCTTTTGCCCACAAGGGCTCGGATTTAGCTTGCATTTTCTAACTTGACCCATGCACTCGGGTTTAGCATGGGACTGTTATCTGGCCTTCTTCTGCACTGGGAGCTTCTCACACAAGTCCTACGTTGTCATACAGGTGCCACAAAATGACAAATGACAAACACAGACCTTGTGCCAAAGGCCCACTGCTGTTGTCAACACAGTGTCAGTGGTGCCACATTGAAGCCCCTGTTTCTGGTCCCTTGAATCGTGTGTGGGGGGCTGCTAGCTCCAATGAGCCTTTCCTTCTGATCGCGAGTCCTCGACCTGGAGCGTGATGACTTCAATGATTCACTTGCCAAAGAGTTGTTCTTTGTCTCTTTTTGGAACAGCCCCTCCAGAATGGGAACGAAAAATCCAGAACACATACCTGTCTATCTATGACAGCTTGTTTTGGGAATGCAAAGCTAGTGGAAAGCCACACCCTTGGTACACGTGGTTAAAGAACGGTGAACGCCTCAACCCAGGGGTAAGCAGCTGTGTTGATATTAAAAACGACCCTGCTGCCAGGGAACTTTGGTTACTGACAGTAATAACAAATGTTTATGAATGTCTAGCTGGTACCAGGAAGCGTAGTAGACTCTTTATATATACTAATTTATTTAATTAAATAAACTCAAAGTAGCTGTTAATATTAGCCACATTTTTTGAAATGAGAAAACTAAGATAGAGAAGACAAATAACTCACACAAGGTCACATACTGGTCAGTGATAAATTTACACTCAGTTGTCACCATCATCATCACCATTGACATCATCATATCACCATCAGTATCATCACCATCACCATCACCATCATTACCATCACCGCCATCGTCACCATCACCACCATCGTCACCATCACCACCATCACCATCATCACCACCATCATCACAATGATCATCTTCATTGTTAATATCTATTGAACTCTCATATGACACAGGCTGTGTTAAATATTTTTTCATGCCTTATTTTATTGCATCCTCATGACAACCTAATGAGCGAAATATGGTTATTATTTCTTTATATAGATGAAGAAAACTGGTGTTAGAGAGATTTAGTCACTTGCCCAGGTCACGCAGCAGCTAGTAAATATTAGAATTCACATCTGAAACTTAGTCTGTCTGATCTCAGGACCCAAGTTCTTACTCATTACCCAGTATCATGCTTTTATGAAAACTAATGATTATCTTTGAACCCATAGGAAAGTGGAGAACGGAGACAGTATCCACATTTTCTGATCTCAAGCATACTTTCTCCTATAATACACAGAAAATGAGACAGAGTTGTTTTTCCCATCAAATTATCCAAATAATTGTGCTAATTCTCCATTTTACTTTACACATGTAGCCATAGCCAGAGACACAACAAACATCTGTTGTTTAAAAGCTGAATATAATGACAGTCTTTGTTTCCACTTTAGTGGAATTTTCTTCTTGCATGCCTTTGCATATAACAGCCTCTGCTTCCTCCAGCCAACTTGTTCACCTTTAGAGATGGTAATAGGTACCTTGAAATGTTTAGTTTTAAGTTGTATTTGCAATATTAAACTATTTCATTGCACTCAAAATTGTAATTCGACATCCTAAATGGGACTCCGTAATGGATTTTGGCTATTGAAGCACACTTTATAGTCAGCTGCAGAGAAGAAAATTCAACTCCTCCTACTTATGACGTGCTTAGAAAATTATCGAGTGATCACATGTCAAGTTTTTTGAGGCCTTATGTTGGAAAGGCAAGGGAATATTTTAATCATGATACCCATGGCTAATATTAGTGTCAACCATGTTTTCTGGAATAATTGGAATGGTGGCATGTTCCAAAGCACTTATATGCCATAGTACAGAAGCTTAACATACATTCTATGCAGAGAATGCCAATTTTCAAAGAAATGAGATAATATAAAATATACTAACCACTTAAATGATACTAAGCATATTTCTATTTTTTTAAAACTTCAGATAGCTGCTCAGGATCTTGTAGTATATTCACCTCATCTTCGAAAACATCAGTTCTCATCCACCCAGATACAATGTCTCATAGATACGCACAAACATTACATAATGTATTCTGATTAAGAGAACGCCTGAGTTAACATACTAGCATCTTTGTATGACTTCTCTTTTATTAGGAAAGAATTCAAATAGAAAATGGGACACTTATCATAACTATGCTGAATGTGTCAGATTCTGGTGTCTACCAATGTGCTGCAGAAAACAAATATCAGCTCATTTATGCAAATGCAGAATTGAGAGTATTAGGTAAGTCATTCCTTGATAACCAAAAAAGTCAAAATGACATTTTAGCAAGCTATGATTGAACCCAATTTTTCGGTAACTTTGAAATTGCTTTCCCTTGAAATAACGGGAAATGTCTAAATTAGCTTTTCAAAAGTGCAAGATGATAATTATTATTCTGCTTGGGCAATCCATTATGGCTTCTGGAGGAGCCCACCGTTAAGCACACCAAACCAGAACAGGGTCCTGCAAAGCCGATTCTAGCTGATGTTTTGAATACAATTCAAAAAATATCCATCATATATACAATGGAATATTACTAAGCCATAAGAAAAAATGAAATACTGACATTTGCTACAACATGGATGGATCTCTTTTTATTATTATTATAGTTTCAGGTGTACAAAGCAACGTGATAGTTAGACATTTACACCCCCCACAAAGTGATAACCCCCCCAATCCACTACCCCTCTGGCATCGTATGTAACTGTTTCAATACCATTGACTCTGTTCCCCATATTATGTTTCATGTCCCCATGACTATAGTGTGACTATAATTTGTGTTTTCTAACCCCTTCCCCTTCTTCCCCATCCCCACCCTCCTCCCATCTAGCAGCCATCAGTTTTTTTTTTACTATATCTCTGAGTCTATTTCTGTTTAATTTGCTTGTTTATTCTGTTATTTAGATTCCACATATAAGTGAGATCATATGGTATTTGGCTTTCTCAGTCTGACTTATTTTACTTAGGATAATGTCCTTTAGGTCCATCCATGTTGTTGCAAATGGTAAGATTTCATTCTTTTTTATTGCCCAATAATACTCCATTGTATAATGTACCACAGTTCCTTTATCCAATCCTCTATCGATGGGTAGTTCAGCTGCTTCCATGTCTTGGCTATTGTGAATAGTGCTGCAATAAGCATAGGGGTGCATATATTTTTTTGAATTAACGTTTTGGATTTCTTTGGATAGATACCTAAGAGTGGAATTTCTGGGTCTTAAGGTAGTTTTGAGGAACCTCCATACTATTTTCCATAGTGGCTGCACCAATCTGCAATCCTACCAAAAGGGTTCACTTTTCTCCACAACCTCACCAGCAATTGTTGTTTATTGATTTATTGATGATGGCCATTCTGACAAGTGTGAGGTAATATCTCATTGTGGTTTTTATTTGCATTTCTCTGATGATTAGTGACATTGAGCATCTTTTCATATGTCTGTTGGCCATCTGTATGTCCTGAGATTATCATGCTAAGTGAAATAAGTCAGACAGAAAAGTCAGGAATCATGTGACATCACTTATATGTAGGATTTAAAACTAAAAGCAACAAACGAACAGCACAAACAAGCAAAAAGTTATAGACACAGAGAATAGTTTAGTGGTTACCAGAGGGTAAGGGGGAGGGGGTGGGAGGTATAAGAGGGTAAAGGGGATCAAATATATGGTGCTGGAAGGAGAACTGACTCTGGGTGGTGAGCACACAATGTGATATAGAGATGATGTATTACAGAATTGTACACTTGAAACCTATGTAGTTTTACTAGCCATTGTCACGCCAATAAATTTAACTTAAAAAAGGATCCATCAGGAATCTTTTCAGCTTCAAATAAAAAACTAAGAAAGGAAATCTCAATTTCTAGAGGCTTAACAAACAGGGATTTATTTTACTTGTTAATGATAAGTTCAGCGGTGATGGCCGAGCTATGACACTGTACCTTGATGATGTCATTTTTTAAACGTTTCCCTCATGCTTGTGGCCTCATGGTTCCAGGAAGGCTGCTGTACCTCCCGAAATCAACTCCATACTTAAGGCAAGAGAGGAGAGAGGGGACAGAAGTGACTATGTCTAGCCCTGTCATTAGAAAAGCAAGATTTCCCTGAGTCCTTACGACAACCTCCTTCTATGTCATTGGCTAGACCCTGCCACGTGACCACTAGTGTAGGGTTTTGTGAAGGCTTTGTAGAAATCATCCTCCTTTTTTGCCATGATGACTCATTCATTCAACAAATATTTTTGAGTAATTATGCAATGCCAGAGATTGGAGCTACAGCGATGACCAAGATAAGCATGGCCCCTGCCCTTATGGATCTTTGGACATAGTACGTGATGGGGATACAATAATTAAATCGTCATGGTGCTAGTTATGTCATTAAAATGATAAGAAGTTCAATTGAAAATGACAAGTTGTTATGAGAGCATGTGGCCTGACATCAACCTAGTAGAAAGAGCTGGAGGGGGCAGCTGGGAAAGGTTTCTTAGAAAAAGAGACATTGTGTTTGAGACCTGAATGAGAGGAGATGGGCGAGGCACATGTGGGCAGCACAGCTGGAATCCTGGAGTCGACAGGACCAGAGGGGCCGCACTAGTCTGCATGTAAGCTTCTGACTTGGAAATCATTCGATTAGGCCACTGTTTTTGTTGTTCCAGTGGCACCACAGGCTCAAACTCAGACAATATGAGGTTTCCAAAATGTTCTTACCTCATCAGGTTCATCAAGAATTTGGTGGACGTGTACTACTGGATGTGGTTTTGCATCTGTGCTTCATTATCACAGTATACTTATATTTCCTCTATCTTATGTTATCTTTACATTTAATTTTGAGCCAGTGCCACCAGGATTTTACACAAAGAGGATGGTTCCTTTAACCAAACACTTGGGCTCTCATTTATTTATTTTTCTTTATGTGAGACATCAAGGGAAACCGGGAAAATAATTATCTATAGTAGAAAACAATGAGATAGAGAAGTTTGAGAATGATTTATTTTTGGACAGCCACCAGTAGTATTTGTCACAGTAAATGACTCATTGATATATTTCATCCTAAGGCTTTTAGTGGAGGGAAGAGAGAGATGAGAGGGAGGAAGGATCAAATGAAAAGAGATGATGTCATCACCTGTTCACAGTGAACAGGTGATGACATTGATTTGTTTGTTCATTCTTTCCATCACCACTACTTATTAGACACATATGGTGTCCTAAGCCCCCAAAATATCATTATCAATACTAGAGAGATCTTCATCTTCATAGAACACAGAGTTTCTCTGAGGGAAAAAAAAAGCCAGAATTTAAGATATTATGATGATTACGGTCAAGAGTTGGGTAGGTGACAAGTTGAACAGAACCTAAATTGAGCACATGCTCTTTAAAGCGAGGTCAGAAGGAAAGCATGCACAGGCCAGCGGGCCAAAGCACCCAGAAGCAGTTCAGCACAGCGTATGGCAAAGCACTTCACTGGTCTCTAGGCTAGGAACGGGGTTGGGACACATGGGCTCCCACATCCATGAAGCTGGAAGGACTTGCGTGCACCCCAGACAGTCTAACAATTTTCCACCCTCATGACCTGGTATCTGTTCAACATTCATTTGGTGGGGACAAAATTGAAACTAACAAAGATGTTATTATCATTTTTTTAATTTCTACTCACCCTGAAGGCAGACATTTACACATTTGTAGTTAAAGACTTGCCTGAAAAAATCTGACACAGTGATACTGCATTTCTGGTTTATTTCAGTGGTATTTCATTATTATAGGTAGATGATAGATATAGATAGATACATGATTGATCGATAATAGATGATTGATAGATATCTGATAGAATATAGATATAAATATATATAAATATATATCAGCCTGAATAGATTTAATGATTTCCCTAATCGGGGTTAAAGTTCTTCTTCTGCCTCTCATCCTCCCATCTTCACATCTTGATTGTAAATACAGGATGTGACTTTTTCTAACTTGCTTTCTCCCTCGCTCTCTGGCTGTTGGTATTGCAATGGTCAGCACCCAGACAAAAATGAATTACGCTTAGCACACATAATCTCATTGAATCCCCTCACCAGATTTCTGAGGTAATAGCTATTGTCATCTTCATTTTACAAATGGAAATACACACTCCAAATGCCAGGCTGATACGATAACCTGACCCTAGAACACCTTGAGCCAAGTTACATGAAAATGTTCTGGGTACAAATATTAGAATCCATCTAATATACGAAGTTATATCCTGGGTTAATATATGTTATTTATTTAACTTAACAATTTTTAAAAATTTTGTTTTTAGCCTCAGCTCCTGATTTCTCCAAAAATCCCATTAAGAAAAATTCAGTTGTTCAAGTCGGCGGGGACATTGCTATCGAATGCAAACCAAATGCCTTCCCCAGGGCAGCTGTCACCTGGAAAAGAGGAACAGACAGCCTGAGACAGAGCAGAAGGTACCTGAATATTTGGTTAATAGTTTGAATATTTTGTAACACAATATCTTCCAAAGTTTCAGGGTTTCCCACATCTTCCAAAATGTCCTCCCTTGTGGCAGACATAACTGTATATCTGGAGATACAGAAATTGTTCACATGACAGCAAAAACAAAAGAGCCTTCTAAAGCTAAGACCTGCAGTATATTCTGTGCGCGTGCTTGTAATCAACATATTTTTTAAAATCCTTTAAGACCTTTCCTACATTTAGCTGGAGGAGTTTTCCCGACACGGCCTGCTGAGAATCAGTAAGAGAGCAAACTCTAGGACAGAGACACTCACACACCTGGTGGGGTAGTTTTAAATAGTCACACAGGTGTTTGCCTCATGTCAAAATGGATTCACCACAGGAACAAATGTGCACAGGTTCCCGTAGAGAAAGAAGAGAGCTTTTCTTCCACAATGAATGGAGTGTGTGTGTGTGTGTGTGTGTGTGTGTGTGTGTGTGTGTGTGCGCTCGCAGGGGCGTCCTGGTCCAGCGCTAGCATGTTCTAGAAGAGTTTCAACTGAACAAAACAGGTGTTTTTCTCTACTTTCTGTATCTCTCACCCCATTGTACTGTGGACCCATGTATACCTAGAGATGTCTAGATATACATGTCTATGCAGCTCTGTTTGATGGCTGTGTGTGTTACTGTGTGATCAGATACACAGTGGAGTCCTTCTAAGAGTGGCCATTGTGCTAAAGGTGTAAAAATGGTTTAGTGAGCATTTGTTTAGCATTATACATGCCATGAACTCATATGCAAACCAGGCCAGACAGGTAACAAATGAACAAGGCAGGCCAGGTGAAGGAGGGACAGGTAAAACGCAGTGAGAGATGGCAATCTCTCTAGTAAGATGGGGCTCGGAAGGAACGGAGAGTGACCTCTGCACCTGAAAGAGGCAGAGCTATGAATTCCGTCCACTGTTGTTTTGTGGGAAGGCAGGCCCAGGTTGGAGAACGTTCGGCATTTTGGGAAAAGCTAGAAATCTGGATGCCGGAATTGAATCTTCTGAGCCAGAAAAAATGCCCGTGGCTGGATACAGGGACACCATGTTGTCATTTCTGGTCATGGCAGTGCACGTGTGGGCCAGCAAGAGAGAAAAGGAGGCTCGCCAGCATGAGCAGGCTCTGTGCTGGCCTGTGGGGTGCTGTGTCGCGGGCCCTGTCCTGACATGAGGACACGCACCGGAGAAGGCGGCTCTAAGGCACTCCCTCCCTGCTGGCCGGCCGCTGTGGCCTCTGTAGCCCGTTGGAGGTCACAGGGCTTTGCCCAGGAAGGGTTCTCTCGCATTCCTGTCTGTATACCCTGTGTCCTGGCGGAACCCACCCTCCATAAGTATCTGTGTCAGGCAGGATGGCTGGGGAAGGTGTCGCCAGCCTCGGAGAAAGGCCCTGGTGGAGGGGACGGCTCGAGATGGAATGATGCCTGGGCACTGAGGTGGAAGTGGGGTGAGGGGTAGCGGGGCCGGGCCTCCCTTGTGGGGACCGCGGGGACATGGCTGCCGCTCTCCCCGTGGGACTGTGCAGAGTCCCCGCCAGCGTCCTCCCTTCCTGAAGTGCAGTCGAGGGTTGCATCCTCTGCTGTAGAGCAGACAGCTCGGGAGGGACACGGCAGGCTCAGCCCTGGGCTGCAGGCACCGGTCCGGCCCGGCTTTCACTGAAGTGGCTGGAAGGGCTCGGCTGAGGGACGGTGAGCGGTCGCCTTCCAGAGCCTTTAAAGGCCCAAACGCAAGGCGTGTGGGGGAGAGAACAGGAAGAAGGTTCGGATCACGGTAAGAAAACGAGAGAGAGGAAAACTGAGGAGTACAAGGAGAACTGTTGATTGAAACAGCTTTTCGGGTTTTTGTTTCGTTTTGTTTTGCGCCGCGTGCAGCGAGCGTGGGACCTGTCCTGTCGCTGATGCCATGTCCGGGTCAGCGCTGCGGCGCTGGGACTGAGGGGACAGCCCTGCGACCTCCCGCAGGCTCGTCTCCCGGCCTCCGTGCTGCCCTTGCTTCAGGGTTTCATTACAGCCTTCAACAAAAGAAAGCAACCAAGTAAACAAAATTATCTCCTGAACACATGTCTTAAGTGGTCACAAAACACAAATTGAGCCCCGCAGGACGTGGTGATGACGGATGCACGCCTCTGCCAGGCCCCGGTGGCCTTCCGCGGTGACTTGCAGAGGCCGCCCTGCAGCTCAGGGGACAGGCTCTGGGTGCTCCCTGCTGCCACCTCTGCTGCCTCTGGAGCGGCCTGGTCCGAGCCGCGGGCTCCCGGCTGCTCAGTGGGGAAGGCAGCCCCGAGCGGCTATCTGCGTCGACATAATGGCTTTTTGCTAGTCTTTTTCATGGCGATTTCCAAACCGGCTGCAGGTAACAATTAGAGTAGTGACGAAAAGAAAGGCGGGAAGCAGAGAGGGCAGACGGAGGCCCTGTTCCTCTTCCTGTGGAGGAAGTGGGGTGTAGCCACAAGGGAGCCCCGCCGCACTCCACCCTCATCCCCGTTGCTTTGAGCACGTCCTTTGCCATCTCAGGCTTGTGTGTGTAACCTGGATGACAGGCCTCTCAGCTGGCTAACAATGGAGAGAGAGCCCAGTGCTCTCCTGGAGCCCGTCCAGGCCTAAGGTGGTTTATTTCGACCGTATCTCTGGTCTGAGCTATTCGCGTTACCAATTATTTCTTCCATGATTAGAATGCTCCTTGTCAAATCAGTGTTCACAGGACAGGTCCCAAATCCTAGCAAAGGAACTGCTTCCGGCTCGCAAATGGCCGTTGCTCTGAAGGGAGCTTTGCAGAGAGGGGAGAATATTAAAACCGTGGGCGATGCCACAGAATAGTTCTTGTAGCATTTGGAATATATGAATAAGGGGTATTTGACGTGTATGTGTGTGTGTGTGTGTGTGTGTGTGTGTGTTCACGGGTGTGTGCATGCAGGGATAGGCAGCATTTCCAACGCAAATGAATTGAATTCAGCGTCCTGGGAGCCAGGGCTGGGGTGCTGGCATAGACGCTGGCTGGGAAGTCACTTTACATTTGACCCGCAAAATGCAAGGTTTATCGCATGTGTAGATACACTGTTCAGTGTTGGATTTGAAAGGGGTGTTAGTAATGACTTTGCCCAGTTTCCAGAGTGTACAGGACCAGGTCCTAAATTCAGACATAGAACGCTGAGTCCCAGCATGCATTTTTAATGCCACGAAAGGCTGATTATGTCACTTAAACTGCAAAATAACGTCTATCCTCTCTCAGCTCTGTTAAAGCATGGCACGATTGTATACATAGGAAGATTACGAGTCAGAGACAGAAAGCAATTTAAATTTTTACAGTAATTCCAAGTAGGGATAGTTTCTAGTTCCTGACCTTGGAAATACCTGTGTGGGGAAATATACATTTTTACTCTCTGTTATAAAACTTCTGTATGGCCCCATCTACTTTGAAGTGTCATTGTCACTAACTCTTGCTCCCAATAAAGTTTAAATACCAACACTGAACAGATGGTTGTAAAGGACTCTGAAGAAGCCTATTCAAAGGTGCCTGACTGTATTGCCTACTTATAAAAAATGGTGGCAGTATCTGTATTTTGACAGCTTCCTCCTCTCTTACGTGAATGAGACAGTCACATTACAAGGCTAGTAACTGATGAAGGGGAGACGTGATGGCACGTCCCCAGTTGCCTTATCCAGACCTTTTTTCTCTGCAGATAATGGGGAACATACCCTAGCCTTTATTTTTTTGAAGGGCTGTTGTCACAGAATTTAAGCTAATTTCAGATCAAGCAATAATTCTGAGTAAGGTGAACATGTTTGTCATTGGCCTGTGTGCTACAATGGAAGTCATGAGTATTTTAAGAGCTCTGTCTTTGTGAGCGTCTATATCATGGTAGGCTGTCTTCCCACTAAAGGCGAGTTTTCCTCCCACTAAAAATAGGTAGACGGCATTAGAGACTCCAGAGGCTGCCTGTTTCCTGCTGGGAGTCGATGGTCACATGACATCTACCTCATCCTTTTGGGTGTTGCTGTTCATTTAGAAAAGCAAAAGCATGTTCCCGGGGACAGACTGGGACGTGTTACACAGAGCTCCACACACAGGTGACAGCACAGGGGTTCTGGCCCCAGTTCTGTCACTGGTGAGAGGCCTGACTGGGGGGGGGGGCGAAACCCCCAGCCTAGTCTTCTTTTCTTTGATGACACTATTTCTTGGATTTATTTAAGACAAAATAATATGAAAACTTCAGGAAACATTGAACACTAGACCCATGCAGCGACTGCCAGAATAGAAATTACGTATTAGAAATCAATGGAAAACATAAACCTGGCAGGCTGCAATTGCCAATTCTGTCATACTTATCATTTTATAGGTTTTCCTAATTCACCCAGGTGACCAAGTGATTTAGTTAAACATGGTCATTGCTGTGAATTGTCAAAACCGCTAACGTGATCTGGTGAGATGGATTCGGAGAGCACAGAGAGCCCTGGCAGCTAGGCTGTGAGGTCCTCATGGGCCTAGCACCCAGCAGCAACCTGGGACACAGCAGAGGTTCAGTAAATATTTTCTGTGCTGCTAAGTCAGTGGAAGTTAGAGTTGCCTTGGTTTTGTTTATGTCTACCTGCCTAAGAGATTTTGAAGTTAACCCAGAAACTCATTTAATAATTAATAGGCCCGTGATGTGTTCATTCATTCATTTTGTAAATATTTAATGAGCACCCGCTACATCCCAAATTCTCCACTAGGTGCTGTGGGTAGAATGTCAAGCTAGCCAACTGCGTGGCACACGATGTCCTTCCTGAGAAAGTGTTTCTCTTTGAAGTTCTTGGAGTCAGCAGATCTGGGTTCAAATCTCAATTCTACTTGTTACTTAGTCGCTGGCTAAGGGTGCTGGGTGACCTGTCCGCTGCCTTTGGGTGTGTTTATTGCTCTTATCCTGTCCTGTGTGCAAATCCCAGCTGCACGTTCTCACCTCCGCCAGCTGCTTCCCACAGAAAGTCAGCATGCATA